AGTACATTGTTCCCAAGTATCTTTGAATTCTTCCAAAGTTAAAATACTTTTCTCCATTCTGTATTAGTGCATAAGAGTTGTCCAAGGCACTCTTCTGATGTATTATTTATAAAGTAAATAAATCTATATTTATTAATATTATTATCTGAATTATTTATTATTAATAACTCTTTTGGTTATTGACATTAGCCAGTTTTATTTGTAAATCCAGCGTAACATCTTTCATATCATTCTTGTAACTTGTTTTTAAATCCAATTCCGAAACAGCCTGATTCTCAGTTGCATTCTCTTCTGTCTCCTCTTTTAAACCCATTTTTTATAATAGCAGTCTTTAAAAAAATTCTGAGTACATTGTTCCCAAGTATCTTTGAATTCTTCCAAAGTTAAAATACTTTTCTCCATTCTGTATTAGTGGGTCTCTTCTCCTTTAATTGTAAACTTTAGTTCTTTCTGGTTGCTTCTAGCATCCAGCCTTCGAAGTCTCCTCTTACTATATTTTTCTCTAATCTGCAACATTTTTCACACGGGAAGATTTTTTACACTTAAATTCAAAATCTTCGTATATTTTTAATGGGATTTTAAACAACCCATGGGAAGGATTCTTATAATTAATTTCAAAATCTTATTTCTAATCCATCTGGCCCCTTAGTTCATTTGTAGCTTTCTAAAATCAATGCTCTAGTTACCTTTTTGCTGTTTATTTCAGATTTTTTTTTTTTTTAAGTTTTTTTTTTTTTTAAGTTCTTAAACTTACATGAAACTTCTTTCGCTGAGGATTGAAGGAGAATCACCCGGTGTGATGAAACTTGTCATTCTGAAGGTTCTTAATGTCCAAAAGGCAGTTAACAAGCAATTTCCGTAAGTGATTAAGAAAGGAAGTGGGCAAACCCAGGGACTGCTTGAAGGCTCTGAACTGTGGCTTGGGCAGAGCTGCCTCTCCCTTGGATTGGTTGGTATTCAGACAGGTCATCCATCAACAGGCACATAGAGATAAACAACATTTACACACTATTCAAAAGAGACAATAAAAAAGAAACAAAAAGACCAGAACACTTCCATGCCAGCAATCAACACCCAA